ATGGCCCACTATCACATGATCTGGGCATTGAAACCCGTATCAACATGCGACCAGGTCAACCAAGTTTTCTATCCCCTATCCCTTCAGGACCAATCAGCTTATGCCAGTTTCTCTGGGAGAATGAAAGCACCGGTTCTTCCCCGGTATGGCCAACGCGTCATTATCGACTTCCATTTGGATGTGAGGGAATTGTGTTTCGAATGGGAGCTGGCAATCACCTCCCATATTCACCAATTGCTTTCCAAGCTCATAGTGAATCAGGGATCTTCTCCATAAGCTTCGTTTACTTACCAGTTCATTTACTCATCATACCTACACAGTAGTTCCATCATCCCCATTCAACATCTTCCTGAATCAGTTTCCCAGACGGTCTGGAATGTAAGTGGGGTTCGTTTTTTCTCATCTTTGGGCAATATGTCCATGTCATGGCCGACAAACAGCTGTCTCATTAATCCGAATCACGATAATTATACGAAAACGACTTCATCGAAAATTCACCCACAGACGATTACTGCCTGCGACATGGGTACGGATGTATTGACTAGCGATTACGGTGGACATACTGCAACGCGTATATGTCACGGTTGACTGTTTTTTCGCGCATCTAACGACACGGCACACCTGCAATTCCGTACCAAGGGTCGCACAAAGAAACCCCTGATTATCAGGAAATCGCAACATGGATCCATCTGCTGTAATTAAAATGTGGACACCGTCAATTCACGACATCCGTGTCGGCAGCTGTGTTCGGTTCTGAATCAATTACAGATGCCCAACTCGTACGCGGTAGCGCACTCATAAGGAGAGGGACCGTACTTTTAGTTCAGGTAGGACTATGAATTGTAATGAACGGCTCCCATCCAGCCATTCGAAAATCAAATGAAAACATCGGTTGCGGAGAGGATTATTCTTATTTTGGCTGGCTTCTATGCCCATATGCTGTTCATGATATTGAGATTGACTTTGAGCTGCTATCGAATTTTAGATTCCAACAGAACACAGCCATTGAATCTACCCTTTGTGTCATTGTTCTGCCTCTGTTCTCTATTCGTAGTGTCTCAAATCATTCCATTCTAGGTGAAAACTACAGGATCCCATATATGGAAAGCTGCCCGCAATATACCCTATATGGCAGTAAGTACAGACACTATCTCTCGACTGCTACTTCGCCTTCTCCGTCATTGAAGCGTTGACTTTGCCGTTACGGTATGCGAGTTCAAGGTGTTGATTTTGTCTTTTGAAACATCAGATCTGACGTTTTCCATCTGAGCTACAGTCTTCTTTCTGCACCACGCTAACCCATAATAGATGGCGAAAACTCGACCATATGCTTCAGGATTGCAAACTGTTCTGATGGCACAAACGAAAGTGAAGGGTTAAATAAGTTTGGTTGCATGTTCATGCCCTCAATAAGACTTACTGTGAGCTACAAGGGCCAGTTCTCTACAAATACTGAATAGAATAAGAATATGGAAGTTTTTATTGCACTGTATGAAACACTCAATAGTTATAGCTTATTCGGCAATTTTGTACTTGAAGATGATTTGTTGTTGACCCAATCTGTTGAAGGTGATTACAGGCAGTCGGCTTGAGGTCGAAACAAGCTTCACATTGCGATCATTCGATGAGCAGAATCTGCAAGACGAATTTATATGTAGGAGGGCAGTACTGACATTAGGAACTCGCCCACCGGTATCCGGTTCGGGTTTGATCTTGACTGGATTTGATCTCGATTCCTCCTAGTATGCAACCGTCATAAGCGTAGCCATGGGAGATTGAGTTGATTTTAACTTCTACTGTTTTCCCTTCAGGAGCCTGAATAACATGGATTCAGATGAGAAAGCATGAAAAGAAGGCAGCCCAATCGCATACTTCAATCCAGTAATTGCAGAAAGTGAACTCATCCCTGGCAGGACCACCGTAGCCGAGTTTGTCAATGAGGAACTGCTTGCTCTGTTTCGCCACTAACGTTCTACCACATCCAGAAGGCTGAAAGAAAGACTCTATTGGTGGACTCTTGTGCAGAGAAGGCACATTCCCCACTTACTCGTTCATTGCAGAAAGCACCGCCATAGCCGCTGGGACAAATACATTCCGAGCATTTTTCTGGGTGAGGGAATCCACCATTCTCGCACTAGTGAGACTTGGCACTCGGACATTTGGCTGAATAACGCTCTGCAGCTCTTCCTACAGGACAGACGTCTGAGCAGTGTCTTACCTTTGCAATTGTAGTGGTCGTTGATCATGGATTTGTCTATGAATGACAGGATGTGCGAGCCCATTGATTCTTGGAAGTTTATGAAATAGCAAATATATGAAGTTCATGAACACATAGGGCCTTTTCCTATTCTTCACCCCGTAGCCCCATAGTGCATGATGCTGGCGTAGTCATAGGTAAGGTCATAGTTGGTCGTGGTTTCAGGTTATCCTTGATGTACTGATCCACGAAATCTTCCTGTAATACTCCAATACACTCTATCAACTTGATGAGGATCGGTAGGTGATGACTTACTCGAACATTCTCCAAAGCGATGGTTATGAAGTCATCTCGATCTTAACGAGACATTGTATGGAAAAGACCAAGAGCATGACCGAGTTCATGTGTCGCAGTTCCAACCTAATGCATGTGGTGATGAAAGGCAAACATATCGAAAGAAGAGACAAGCGTTCAAGGATAAAAATTACCCCAATACCACATGGCTAGGAGCACAAGTCTTTTACAAGTTTGACGAAAGCGCAGGTTAGCTTCAAAACACAAGTCCAAAGAATCCTTTTTGCTCGGACCTTTTGAAATCGGAAATTCAGACTACTTCACCAGAGAAATATTCAAGAAGGGAGCCAAACAATGGGAAGACGCATCGTGCATCAAGTTCCACCACGATAAAGAGAACAAATGTTGAATGATTTTTTCACTAGACTTGATCCCTGATGCCATCACGATCAAATTTGATTTCAGCTGAACACAGTATCGTATTGATAAAAGAGGAAGGCTGCTGGTCGTACGTAGGACGCACTGGAGGCGAACAACCTCTTTCGCTTGGTGAAGGCTGCGAAGAGGTGAGGGGTCCCCCTTTTTCAGCTCTTTCCCCTTCATTTTTCATCCTCCCTTTCAATTCTATTTCTTCTCTTTTATTGTCATACACGTTAGGTTGGAACTGCGACACATGAACTCGGCCACGCTCTTGGTCTTTTCCATACAATGTCTCGTTACGATGGAGATGACTTCATAACAATCGCTCTAGAGAACGTTCGAGTAATTCATCACATGCAGATCTTAATCAAGTTGATAGAGTGTATTGGAGTATTACAGGAAGATTTCGTGGGCCAGTACATCAAGGAAACACCTGAAACCACGACCAACTATGACCTTACCTATGACTACGCCAGTATCATGCACTATGGAGCTACGGGGTGAGGAAGAGGAATAAGCACTATGTATCCATGAACTTTATATTTTTGCATACTTCAGTGCTTCTCACAACAAGAAACCTACAATGATAGCCTATGACGTAAACTTCCAAGAATCAATGGGCTCGCATATCCTTCCATTCACAGACAAATCCATAATCAACGACCACTACAACTGCAAAGGTAAGACACTGCTCAGACGTCTGTCCTGTAGAAAGAGCTGCAGAAAGTTGTTCAGCCAAATGTCCGAATGCAAAGTCTTACCAGTGCAAGAATGGTGGATTCCCTCACCCAGAAAAATGCTCGGAGTGTATTTGTCCCAGCGGCTATGGCGGTGCAATCTGCAATGAACGAGTAAGTGGGATATGTGCCATATCTGCACAAGAGTCCATCAATAGAGCCTTTCTTTCAGCCTTCTGGATGTGGTAGAACGTTAGTGGCGAAACAGAGCAAGCAGTTCCTCATTGACAAACTCGGCTTCAGTGGCCCTGTCAGGGATGAGTTCACCTTCTGCAATTACTGGATTGAAGTATGCGATTGGGTTGCCTTCTTTTCATGCTTTCTCATCTGAATCCATGTTATTCAGGCTCCTGAAGGGAAAACGGTAGAAGTCAAGATTAACTCAATCTCCCATGGTTACGCTTATGACGGTTGCATATTAGGAGAAATCGAGATCAAATCCAATCAAGATCAAACCCGAACCGGATACCGGTGGGCGAGTTCTTAATGTCAGTACTGCCCTCCTAAATACAAAATAGTCTTGCAGATTCTGCTCACCGAATGATCGCAATGTGAAGCTCGTTTCGGCCTTGAACCGGCTTCCTGTGATCACCATTAACAGATTGGGACAACAGCAAATCATCCTCGAGTACAAAATTGCCGTTTGCTTCCGCTTGTACGGTGCCTTCACAACAGTTTGCAACTTTCAGAAGTATGATAAACACTTTGCCATCTATTATGGGTCACCGTGATGCAGAAAGGAGACTGTAGCTCAGATGGAAAACGTCAGAGCCGATGTTGCAGGAAACAAAAGGGAACTTATTGGAAACGCATACCACTATGGCAAGATGATCACTTCGGTGGCGAAGAATTTGGGTTGGAGTGACAGTTTAGCAAAAGCAGTGTCTGCATTTTTTACTAAATTAGGGTTGATGAGGTTCCGCAGACCAACTTACTTATTTTTTGGTCCCCTTAATATCAAATAGCATGGGTTGGCGCAATTGAAGGTTATAAAGAGGCAAAATTCTGACCTATCGTCTGAAGAAATCTATGGTGAACGGTCTTTCATTTAAGGACCTCTAAATTTTAGCTGTTTGTCAATGTTTGCCTCAAATGAAAATGTTTTGGAAATGCTACTCCTCGTCTAAATATTTTTTCGAGTACTAAGTCACAGTCAGAAAGGACCAGGACACCTCTAGGCTCCGGGCTACTCCCAATTCGACTTTAATTTGTTCAGATTACTATCGATGATATGGTGAGTTGAGCAAAACGACAAATGTCCTCAAACCGTTAGTACCAAACGGTCGTAAAGTCGTCGGTCACCTCAGATACCCTTAGCTTATCAAATTGTACATCTCATCGGATGTCATTTCGATTTATGGACACACTTGTCAGCAATTAATCTACCGTTTCTGATATGTGCTGGCGTTTATGAGGACGTACGCCGACGTACTGACGACGGCGGCAGAGCGTTTGAGGTGGGGTAGACCACATCATAGATGCCGACTGGTTCGATTTCAATCGATGACATAAAGCGGCACGAGTCAAGGTTGATTGTATGGCGGCGACGGCGGAAAATCGACAGTTAATAACTAAAACGGATGAGTAACGTATTATGACCATCGACATATTCGTCCGTGAGGGACCATCTTTTTTTTTGGGGATAAAAAGGCAAAGGATGAAGCCTTGGAGCGTTAATCAATCTCGTCCGAGGGATGCGTCCCGCACTCGACTTCCATTCAGAATCGTATTCTCGTAATGAATGCGTTGAGGCCTACACAATGACTTGCGGTGGCCAGCCGATGTTTAATTTAGTGCTTTTTCCTCCCAAACAAGTCTGGTACTAATTAACCAACCCCGAAGAGATGGAGGGCTTGGCTGGCTTAGGCGGATATCGATCCGGGATTCGAACTCCTGACCATGCGTGTGAGATAGCGTGCCGCTTGCCACTACACCACCTCCGCCCTTTTGGAAGATAATTCTGCAAAAACCCTACGTCAGTACCCTATTACGGCAGGTGATGAAGGGTAAGGGACTAATTCTTCTAGCGCTGATCAAACTCGCTTCTGGGATAAGCGGTGCATTCGACTACCACATAAAATCAGTGGCGTTCAAATGCGTATATGGCTTATGTGACGCGGAAGACAGCCGATGTACAAGTCAGTGCTTATTCCCTCCCAGATGAGCCTGCTATCGAAAAACCCACAAGGATTCGATCCCCACACCTTTACCCCTCAGTAAGAGAGACTGGTCAAGATGAAAAAATAAAATTCCGAACCTTTCAAGATTTATGATGGACAGACATACGGACTCCGACGAGGCAACAGGGCCAGAGCCAAAACCGATTATATCGGCATCTATGCTGATAGTGGATTTCCAAGCATTTCAGAAATCCTCAAAGATTGATTTTTCCGCGTACAGGGTGTCAAGACACAAGCTGGCAGCTCAATTTTCTATTTTTTTTACTATCTGTCCCTGAAAATGGAGGAATACTTCTCTACTCCTCTACCTTTAATAAAATTGATGTTCTGTCGTCCTTTTCCCTACAGATGTATCCCTTGCCCCAAAAAAACTTTTCCTTTTTTTGAATCTACATTACCGGGAACGCGATTAGTATTCATTAGCAGAACGGATCATGTATCCTGAGCCTCTTTAATGGTATGCATAGCTAAGAAGTTTTTTTTCAGCAAACTAGAGAACTCTGGAATTCAATTATATGTAGGTACAACTATAAATTACAACACCTCTTTTAATCACTTCATTTCTAACAAGTGGGAGCTAATAGCTTTTGCTCTATCATCTCCTAGAAAACTTAGACTCCCAATAAATTCTGCCCAAGCACTATCACTCATGAGACAAAAAAATGACACTGGAGAAGTTTACTTTTACAAAATCAGCTCCCACATTGGCCACTTAATACAGAAAACTTTGCTCACTCTAGTATCTTGAAGGCATCCCTGTCACATTATATTTTTCGCTTAATTCGGAATGAGAGAATGTTCTGTAAACAAACAAAGAAAGCATAAGCTTTTACTATTGTTATCGTTGTTTATGCTTGAAAAACAAACTGAGTACATGTTTACCGCCACAAGCTTACCTTATTTCCTAGCCTGTATTAATACCTATTTTTTTTCTATATTTCTCCTTCTCAAAGAGGAAGGAATGAATGTCAAAGTGGATTGAATTGAATTAATAAATAAATGAATTTATGAATGTTACAAATGTAACAAACAAATAAGCAAATAAATATGTTCGCCCATTTGCGACGGCTCACGAGGGACTTATATTTGCCCCCATAACTCAATGTTTTGGGTAGAACATTCCAAGCAGTTTCTCTCGAGCGTTTCGGATATTTCCGAGCCGGAGCCAATTAATACCGATGGCAGCCGTAAACAAGTTCTTCGCGAGCTCAAGGAATTCTATCAATGCTGGAAAATATTTCGGTCTGGAAGATATCCATAAAGACGTTGCAATCTTGACGGCGGCTTCAGTCAGAATTAGAGAAGAGTCATTCAGAACAAAAGAATTCTTGCCTCGAATTGTCTTTTCAAAAACTCTGTTTCATGTTAAAAGCAATTGGGCTTCCCAGAGAGTGAACGTCCCCGTGATGGTGGGGTTAGAATCGTTTCCGTGAATCGTTTTAATTGAAGTCGTCATCCACAAAAATGGAAATTATAGATGCTCTTGCTTGTCAGAAGAACCACAAGATTTTGGAGGCTGATGATACCATGTCCTCCTTTCGGCCGAACTGGTTGAAGCATAGTACGAGATTACGTCATTAAGATAGCGCATATGGACGAGTTCTCGCATGGAGGTGTCTTTACCGTTATTGTCTCCTTTTCTTTGATATCTCTTCACTCTGAAGCTCATTAAGCTTTCCTTCTCCTGCACATTATAATGGATATCGTTATGACCGCATTAGAGAATTGTAGTGACAAACTCAGATTTCGTAGTGGACCCCTCGGTGTACTCCAAAAGAGCAGCACAAATTCATAAAACTCACAAACCTGCGATGGTCGGCGATAACCCGTTGGAACATTCCGGGGATATCTTGGAGCGTTCGTCATTGAGCCCCACCAAAGCCCATAACTTCGTGGCTTTTCTTCTCATGGGTGGGAGTTTGTTGCCTGACAGCCAATACTTGCTTCTTGTAATACGCCATGCACCGACTTGCTACGCCAATCCCGCCTATAAGCCCTAGATTTATATCTACAATTGATTCTGAGGTGAAAATGTAGTTGGTGGGGGCCACGCGGCGGCACGGCACCCTTTTCCGTCTGGTGCTCTCTCCAGCGAGATAGTAGTGGGCCTGAGTCTGGAAAGGACTGGGGAAGTTATACTGATGTGTTTCGTGATTTAAAACAAACTAACTCTTGGTACACGTTGATATGCTTGCATATTACGGATACTCTTCTTCTGAGCCGATAAAACCTATTTTTTAAGGGGAGGGCTCCGGGTTGGGTGAGATGGTTATTTCGTGCAAAAAGCTGAGATAAGATAAAAGTTGAACGTCCAATAGGCTCACCCACCCCGGATCCTCCCCCCCTCCTTCCT